ATATATATATTATATCAATTAAATTTTTTTTTGAGTCATTGATCACGGAAATTTTCTTTGTAATGCTTAAATGATATTAAGTATCAAGTGATTATATTCTAATACATTTTACTTTGGTTTTGATGTATGCATTAACACATTCTTTTTCTGGTCCACAACCCCTGCTGATCGACTGCCTGCAGAATCAAAGTAAATATACAACTTCTTGAATCTCTTAAAATTTGAAGGTTCATTAACTTCAATCATATTTTGATAATCTGTCCTGGCTGTGATCAATATTTTTATCAGAATCTGGAGCTACAAATCAAGAAAACTACAATAGAGCTGGAAATCTTGCAAACCAATCTCAAGTAACTCTACTATGGCAAACCCCCGGTTTATAAAACTATTTTATAAGTATTCCATTGCTCGAATTTTTTTGTTTTTTTCCACATTATTTGACATTAATCTTGAAGGGAGTATGAGCTGGAGAATGAAGAGGGTGCTTCACTTGCTCAAATCTTGTGGTGTGAGAAAAACCTGAAAGCTACACTACAAGGAATCACGGATAGGAAAGTAAGTTCTAGTACTATATATGTATATAAATACATACTTTATCTTATTCATTTTCAAAAAACAGCAAGCAATGAGAAACTCTGCCCATGTTTACTATGCTTCTAGCAGAAAAGGTTGCTCAACGAAACGTACCCATCACTCGGGCAAACAAGACTTCAGGTACCAATTATTGAAGACAACCAAGTAACTAAAATAGTTTAGAATGAAAAATTACATTTTTTTTTTGGTTGTTTTTTAGCTGCAATAATATGCATAACATTAACATCAGAGGGATTGAAATGGTGTTGCAGAGACGAGGACAAGCACCATCAGACAACTTTCCTGGGAATCCAGTGCTCAACAGAGCAAGGCAAAACCTGAATTCCAGGAGTCGATTTCTAATGCAACATAATCCTAGGACTTGGCCGTACAGGTTAATCAAATAACCCCATCGTATACAATTTATCAATGAGTGTTATCATTATTCAAAGCTGGAGCATCCAATGCATATCAATTAATGCTTTTAGTGGGAATAAATTTGCATCCGGTAATGATTTCCTGAAGCCTTTGGTAACATTGTGCTAAGTTTGTTAATTATCAACTTATAAGATGAAAGATATTCATTAATTCTGTGATTTCCTGCATTGGAGTATTTATAAAATATATTCAACCAAAAAAAACCAAATCAAAGCAAGAAGAAGTTCAATTGTTCATTTAAAAATCAGTGGAAGATTAAACATTAACCCCGAGCAAGCATCTCTTTGCAGCCCCAGGGTTCATAATAGTCTACTAGACCAGCGATATCAACCTAAAGGGATATCAGGTGGTGTACCTGGTGCATCCTGCAGCTTTGCATTCAACCCTTTGGCTGCTAGTTTCCCTGCCATTTACCAACATCCTTCTTACACTCAGCGAACTGAAATCCCACCAACTTACCATCAAATCCAGGTACTGATTTCATGCTATACAATTCAAAGTCAACCCCTAATAAGTAGTTAAGTGCTAAACTGATAATCACCCAACTTTATATAAAATTTTGTAGCATCAACCCTTTTTATGGGATCCGACTGCTGCTAGTATTCAAAATTTGCAGCTAGGTGTGTATGGAAACTCATCCATGGTAAGTAAACTTTTCTCTGCATTTTATAGTCTTTTAACTTTATTCTCCATCTCACTGATAATTTCCACAAATGTTGTCAAATTTTAGCATCAAGCAATTATAGGGAATCCTGCTTTGCATTGTGTTCCTTATCAGCCACTGGGAACATTAGGAACCTCAAATCTGGTACGTTATGGCACCCTAGACCTAGACCTTTGTTAGTCTACCAAAGAAGCAATAGTTGAAAAGATTATTTAATCTATCTGTAATTGATAATTGCTACAAACTGTTTCAAAAAATCACAGTACCAACCAATGATGCCTGGTATTCTGGATCAGCAGCTGGGAGTGTTGGGAAGCTCATCTGTGGTATGTGAAGGCACCCTAACCATTTACTAGTTCATCTAAAGAAGTAAAAACTGTAGAGATCACCTTATAGTAATAATATTATCAAATCTGCTCCAGTAACTACTGATTACAACTAAATGTTTGGAAATTTATAGCAGCAACTGATGAGAGAGGATCAGATAACACCTGTTATTCCTAATCAGCAACTAGGAGCTTTAGGTGATTCATTTCTGGTATGTAACGGCAACACGAACTCTTAATCTATCGCTTTCTGTGGAAAAGTCAGCTAATTTCAAGTTCAGCAATTAAATTATACTTTGCATTTCAGTCTTTGCCTTGCCACTGATATACCAATGAATTGTAGGATAAATCTTTGATGGGAGTCGGCACGACACCTTATGCTCAATTCCAGCAGGCAGGAGTTTTAGGCAGCCCATCCGTGGTATTTGATGTCATTCCAGATTGTTATTTCCTGATTCCATGTGAAGCATGTGTATCATTCAAATCCTCTGAGAAAACTCTGAAACTTGATAAGACTGAAACTTGATAAGATTCTGAATTTTGGTTCATGCTACTTCAGGGAAGGCTTGCAAATGTTGAACCTTTAGGACCTCAAGAGAATCCAACACCAACTTCTTACCATAATTACGTAAGTTCCTGATTTCCACATGAATCATTTATCTTTGAATTCTTCTCAAGGTTCCAATCTACTTATCTGGAAGATACTGTATTATTTTGAAAGCAGAACAATTCCAACACACAGAAGGATGTGTCGTCACTGCCATCCATGTTTCAGCTTCAAGTCGATCCTAATGAAATGAACTTGCACTTTCTAGGCAGCCCTAGTTACAATACTACTCAGAATTTGGTTGCTACTCCGCTTTTGAACTCTGAGAAGTATGTCATCAAAATATCCAGTATTAGTATTTTTTATACACATAAAAGGTAGTTCATTTGATGGAATTCCTCTGCAACTGTCCTTTCAGGGTTTCCTCTGAACCTGTCTTCACCAATAATATTGGATCCATCACCACCCCCACCCACGGAGATGGTGACAATGCAAACAACGGCAGCAGTGGTGGTAATAGCAACAGCAATAATGGTAACAACGGCATTGACAACTGTGACACAAATGAGAAACATCCGGCATGCCTTACTCAAGAGAATCCACCTCCAGAATCACCAACTGACTCGATGTTTCTTAATAGCCTTTTAAATGAGGTAAGAACAGAGTTTAATAGATTAGGTGTATGCAATTCACTTACAAATCCAAAAGTTTTCAGAGCTTCTTTTAATGGCTCACTTGGAACAAATGCCATCCACAGCCAATACAAACTATTTATTTTCTTGGAGTAACATACCTCCAAGTTTGCTTTATATGCAAAACTATCGTCTTAATTAAACTATATAGAAGTTTTAGCCTTTAAATGGAATCTAAACATGAATTTTTCTGGTGAACAGGAAGCAATTGAAAATGACACATCTCAACCCGCAGGAAACCAGGAGGACAGCTTCATAGATTGGGATGGCTTTGCATTGGCAGAAAACCTGAACTTGGAAGACTTTGAAATTTTATTTTGAGAAATGACAAATTTTAGGACTCAGATTGCAGTTGTTTTCCATCTGAGCCTTCAGAATTAGGTAATGAAATAAGATACTGCAAGGAATAATGTAGATCTTGAACTTGACTATGATGATGCTTGTTTCTCATCAGTGTTTCTTCCATAATTCAGCTGATACTGACTCTCCAAAGATGCAGACCATTCATCAATTTCCGTGATTGAAAAATGTTTAATCATTGCCAAAATCCATAAGTGCTTTTTGTCAGGTATATCATATACTATGTTTCGCCATCTTTTATAGGCTACTATAGGTTAGGTCTGATTGCAGCCATAAGCATAGTATATAGTGTAGATTGCTATTAACAAACTATCTTCCATCACAATATCAGTTGGGTCTGTCAACATACTATGGCAGTTCTAGTGAATTATATGTTAGACGTAGCCTCTTTAAAATTTAATTTTATTTTGAATTTATTATATAAATAAATTATTAATTAATTATTGTGTCACATGTATTATATTAATTAATGGATATTTTATTTATTAATGACATATATAATGTGACCATAATTTATTTGATCATTTTAGAAACAAACTATTTTAATAGTTGCTAAGCTGTTAAGTGGGGAGTTATTATTTTTCAGTTTTTTATTTATCAAAATTGTACTAGATTATTTATAAATTGGACAAAATATTTAAACTACACTTGTTACCTAAGGAAAACCTTAATTTGGTGAAGGATCCATATAGAAATTAGTAGAAATTAATGGGGGATGAGTGGGGTTTGTGATGTGTATTTCAGTAACTTTCAAGTTATTGAAATTACATATATTGTTTCTAAAAATTTATTTTCAAAATTAAAACTATCATATCTTATTTTATATATATAACAATTCGTTTGCAATTTGTTCTCATCTCGACCAAAATATCTAACTGGACATGAAACTTCGACGAAGAAAAAATTAAATACACAAGCAAATTTCAAATAGGTCTCTGACCACCCAAATTCATCAAGCCTAAGGGAAATTTAACGATTTATGGTACTGAATTAATCTACACCAAGATGAGGCAGGTTGCTCTCATAGTTTGCACCTTCACCGGTAGGTGGCATTTGAGGGCAATTTGATGCTGTCTCAACCTGCTGCTGTGATACTACAACCTGGGGAATGCTTGGACCTGCAATCTCCTGCTCCAAAAATGCACATGATCCATATCCATCTCCGGTTAATTTTCTTACATTTCATGTTTATAAATAGATATCCTTGCTAACATAGTCAGGGTTTAGAAATTAGAATATAATTGATTACCTTCATCAGAGGGAATGACGTAGGAGACATGAGGGCAGAAAGCAGCTCTGTTGAAGTGTAGTTGTGATGCCAGGGTGAAAGACCGTCGTTACTTGAGGTGCTGACATGGCACCCGCCCATGTCACAAGCATCAACGGTCATGTTTGCACCATGTGGCATAGGATCATAAATGGTGCTTGAGGATTGATTCCTGATCAGCATTTCATTATTAAGAATTTAAGACCTAAAGGTTTTTAATGCATTCGAAACAGAAAATAATAAATTTGGATGCTAATTTATACCTAACAGGAATACAAGAAGATTCAGATCCTGCACAATATTGAGTTGGGTTCTGTCCATTCTCCGGCAACCAACCCACAACCTCATTTTCAAAAGAGCTTGGCTCCCCTTCTTGTGAATCCAAGAACATCTACATGATATATATA